ACAATGTGGGACTTATATGCCCACTTCGATCACATTTTCTCAAACTTAATAATAAATAAAAATACATCCTCATAGCCCCAATACACTTCCATACAATTTGTCTAATGAAGGAAGAAAATGTCTTCACATAACATAACATATACTTTCAAATTACATTAAAATTTAAATTAAGTACTTTTTCTTCACTTTGAGATAAGTTAAAACTCAATTTTAGGAAAAATTAATTATGGGAAGCCAATGATGGAACTCGAATGCGTAGGTCATCCCTCAAGACTACTACACCCCAAATCTGATATGTGCCTTCGATAGCGGAATCAGACTCTCCTCACTCCTCAAAGATGGGAAGCCAAACAAGAAGCAATCTCACAAGATGATGGGTCGCTCGAAATGCATAGATCAGTAGGCATACAAATGATGAAGGAAAATTAGCATGAGCATGCCAAGTTTTTGACCATTTAAGCTAGGAAACAGTTTTTATAAGGGTTAGGACCTAAACAATCAAATTAAGGCACACAAATTCACTAGAAGAGGTTATTTCGATGCCCAAAAATCCTCAAATCGATCATATCGACCTCAAGATGTATGGGCATGAGAAAAATCGATTCCAAGTATTGAAAATAATGCATCTTGTAACACATTTTCTGGACCATCAATTTTCAAGATTTTCAAATGTTCATAGATATACTTGTTCTACACTAATTTTGAAGCTTCAAATTTTATAGTTACAGAAAAAAATAAATTTGAAGAATGTCACCAAGATTTTCAATACTGACACGTCTTTCGATACTATTTGAAGTTATGCCTTACTTTCATGGTTTAGAGCCTCAGACTATCAAACTAAGCCATAAAACTCATGGAAATCAACTTCTACCTTGCTGTAATTGAGAGTTAAACACAAATTGCAACAAGCCTATGGATGCAAAAAATTCACAAATAGGTAGTGTGGAGCATAGATATGAAGTCTAGGGTATACGGCATAATATGGACTATGATATGGCATGACGAGAACTTAGAAATCGATCATAATTTCTCATGAAACTCAAAGATTATCTCGTTACAACTGATGTTATGACACTAATTACAGCGTGATAATAAAACGCTTACAGCGTGACAATAAAACGCTTATAGCTCACAAAATGATGGCGTGGAGCATGGATGCTTAGGGTAGACTACGTGCTATTGCGTGGAGTATGATATAGTCTACAAAATTAAGCCTCTGAGAAGGTGAGAATACCATTGTGTCTCTATGAAGTTCCATTAATGGTGAAAGAAAGCTTGGATGAAGATGGCCTCTAAGTCGTTAAAGAGGGAGAAAAAGGGACATGAATTATGGACTATATATCACTCATAATGACCATGGGCTATCGAAGCCATGGCCTTCACCTCTCACACTCTTAAGTGCCACGCCCTACTCTCCACTTCTCTTTTTCTCTCTAAATGGGCACCGTATTTCTAATTGAGAATTGGATACTCAAATGAGGGGGTGAAGCCCTCTAATTATAGGGGTGGGAGACGAGTGTGTAGAAACTTCTCTTGAGAGGAGGAATGAGAGCCCTTGATCATGGAGATTGAGAGAAGTTGGAGACTAATCCATTCATTAATGTCTAGCTATTGTAGATCAATAGGTGGGTTTCAAGACCCTTATCCCCTAAATTTCAAAACTCAAAACTTCCCTATTCATTTCAAATCCAATTTTCCCACTAGAACACAACTTAATTTTGAAAATTCAATTTAAACCCAAATTGAATAAATCAAATTACCTTAATCGCCCATCCCAAATTTTAGATTAAGAGAGAAGAACATTCTAGATGGTAGCCCGAAGGGTCTAGATATACCCTCTCTCTCCTTTCAAGTGAAAGGAGAGAGGTGAAAGACAAGCTCTTCTCTTTCCTTTAACTAACTCGCACATGAGGCCCGTGAGGGTGTGACTAACTAACTCGCACATGAGGCCCGTGAAGGTGTGACTAGTGGCACAAAAGTGGAATTTTGCTTTCCCATAGACCTTAGTGTTTCAATTGAAATATTAAACTCTATACCCTTCTATAAGATTAGCATGTGTGCCCCATGTACAAAGATTCTCCTCACTACAAAATAAAACTTTATTAGAATTCATCCATGATAAGGCCCCATCCAAACATACCTCGATAGGTAATATCATGGAGTTGATGCCACCATGGTGTCATACTTACATGGAGGGGCCAGGGGCCAGCATGGGGGTCTATGTGTGGCCCATTGGGCATTTATTTGGAAAATTTTTAAACATTTTTCTAGACCTATGTAGGCTTCAAATCAAGTATAATTTTTTTAAAAAAAAAATTTAAAAATTTCTTCTTATTTTAATAAAATAAATTTATTTGGGATTCTAGTGGTGGGGAATTAGGTACCTTTAGAGTTTGAAACATGAGTCTAGGGCTTTCCAATGGGCCTTGAAACCACAACCACTTTCTTAACTCAACCAAATAGAACCCATGACAAATGCTCATACTTGATCCATCAAAGCTGATAGATAGCAGAATTCTAAAATCTCAGTGGATTGTATATGCACCCGAAGGACTATTTAAACTATATATCTGGCTGTAGTCACATACAATCCATGGTGTAGGTGTCCTTTCTCATAACATACTTACATCCCAAGCCTGGTAGATCACCCGAAAAGGGAGCTTCCCACATATGTGGTTGTTATATGCACATGCCGAAAGTCAGTAATGTATAAGTCAAGGCTACCGCCTTGCCCTAACAAGCCGCCAAACTATGTAGGATATCCTTTCTTATATCTCATCGAGATATCCTTTTCTCAATCCCTTGTGGGCACCCCTATGAACTGGGATATAGTGCCCCACTAAGCCTACAATCCAAAACAAATGGTTATGGTTTTTGGACTCAAGACACCACTCGGGCCCCAAACCGCCTAGGCCCGATGGGTTACTGGATACTTATAGGTCTATACTTCCGCTGGACTCAAAACCCACTATAAAACATAAAAGGTACAAGGTGTCGAGGCCTTGAAGGACCACATAAATCCAATTGTGACCATTTGGGTTGACCTATCTCAAGTCTAGATTTAAACCCTGGGGTTCTAGTTTCGATACAAGTAACCAAATTATGTCTAGGTCTAGGCCAAGTTTGACTTGAACTGAAGTAATGCACACACATATACACATGCACACACATACTACCATGAATTGATTTCTTCAAGATTAGCTCCAAGCCAAAAACTCCCAAAACATTTTATCTAGTGAAATTTGTTTGATCCAAAATTTCCTCCATGGCTAACAATCTTATCAAATAAATCTAGAATAAATACTTCTTTAGGATAAAGAATATAACATGAATGTTGCCTGTCCATTATAGCATAGGCTTTTAAGAATTCTAAATTGGTCAAACGAGAATAAAAAAATTGTTTATATGGTGAAGATGAGGACGTCTACAAAAATAGCTCATGAGAATAAGTAATTCGAAGGAGTTTTTCAACCATGAGCTATTGTTGTAGAAATTAGGTCACGAGAATATGTAAATTTTCCCATATATGTGTATTTGGACTCTTTCCATTGGCCTGACGATCCTGATCTAAAATTTGCTCACAAGGATGGGTAATTTTTTCAATATATGTGTATGTGAAATCGTTGGCCCCATTGTTCAAAAAAAAAAAAAAAACGGAATCATTGGCCCCACCTGACCTTGACTTGGATATTTGAGGTCATTAATAACTCCCCTTATTAAATTGCTCATTCAAGAATAGTAAAATGCTTTTGTAGGTTTTCTAGTTGTAGACAACCACCCCTAAAATTTTTGCCAACACCCTAGTCATCTTCTCAAACCCAAAATATAGATTTTAAACATACATAATACTCCGAACTAATCATTCTAGACACCCCTGAGCCTAATAAATATAGAAAACTAACTTGAACACTAACCCAATATCTAGAAACCAAAAATCAATACCCTAAAATTCTAGCCTTATGGACCCATTTGAAATTCGCTCAAATTGGACCACACTTAATTGCAAATTGTAGAGGATGTAAAAATATTTCAAAAGGTCCAATAATGGTTCAAATCTTATAAACAATTTGAAAGTTATGGTCCGAACAAATTTGTTCACATAAATTTCATTTTGGTCTCTATAAGTGGTTCAACGATGCAACTAGAACTTTCTAGAGGTTTATTGGTTATTCTGTATCTATTCTTGGACACATTTTAACCAAACAAACTTTAAGAATCAAAAGAATCCTTTTTAGACGATGTCTAGGACCCAAAGCATATATAACCCCCTAATCATAGAAAATCAACAAAAAAATTATACAAAAGTATATAAAAAATTAGGAAAATAACTAAAAATCATAAAAAACCTTCAGAAATTCCCTTAGAAATTAGATCACCTAAAAACCCTAAAACATATGAGGGTAAATAACCAAAATCCTATAGAAAATTCCTTACAACAAAATATCTTAGGAAAAATACTACAAAAATACCCAAAAAAATTCCTAAGGCTAGGAAAACCTAGATCTATGAAAACATTAAAACAACTCTAGGCTAAACACTTAGCCAAATCCCTTCAAAATTCCCTCGAAAAATCTCTGGAAAACCCTAATTCAAAAACCCTAGGAACAATATCTCCTAGGCCCCAAAAATACTTTAAAGCCATATTTCAAGAAGAAATAGAACACATCAAGGAGTAAACAACTGGTGGCGCTAATACGGGCCTAACTTCAGGCTTTCCCACATAAGTTTCTCTTTCCTTTCTCTAGTTTAATTTTTAAAAACTTGTAGTTCTATAGTTCTTCTTTCCTTGTTTTCTTGGATCCTTTTTTGGGTTTTGTGCGATTTCAAGTTGACACTGCGGAGTTTCTCAGAGAGGATTGATCTTTCAAAATTAGATCTATCTTTGAACTGTGATTTGATAGATCCCACCAATCTCTACCTAAATTTAATTGTTAAGTTGAAAGCACAAATCAGAGAGGGTTTCTTAAGAAATTCTCCTAGATTCTGTCTTTAAACACTAGTTAATCACAAGCATAGCGTCTCTTACTTCCAATTGGAAAAAAGTGTCTCTTACTTCCAACTTTCAAAAGAAAAAGAAAAAACATATCCATGTTCATTCCTAAATTTTCTTACCAAGCATCCATCTGGTGCTAAAATTATTGAGATATCCTCCTGATGGCAGAAATTCAGCACAAAGTCTCATGTCCCTAAGTATTGTTGGATGGTGGAGATTGTACTCAATTAGATCTCTGTGCACATACAATTTGATGTTCCCTCCCTTGTCCAATCTCACCTGACCAACACACAATAGATGCTCCATATGAATATTCCAATAACAAGCTCCTTGGGAGTATAGAATAGGCTCAAAGGGAAAAATACTAGGTGGCCTTATTGCCAAGTTTTGAGAACCCAAATTTACCCATGGTTCATAATACAGAAACAGCCCTTTGCATTTCAATTAAGGGCACTTTGGAAACTTTCCAGAAGAATATAATTTGATATACATTTATCCAAACCAAATGAGTGCAATTTCAAGAAGTTTATCTACTATATGTATGGATGAATAAGGTAATAATGGGTTCAATTGCAGAACTCAACTACAAGGAGTTGTTGTTGCATCCTTGATGTTGTGGCCTTGAACCCAGCTATACCTACTCAAAATAAATATAATGAAAACAAGGACAAAAAAGAAAAATGAGGCACCATCACTCTATTTGTTGGGTTGTGGGGGAGCCAGAGGCCTGGACCAGGTAGAGCCGGCGACAAGGGGTGCCGTCTTCCGGATGAATCTGAACAGACCGAGGGAGGCATCGTAATTTGTTGAAGAGATTGAGAGGGTCATGAAACAGACCAAAGTGGGCATCGGGGTCCCCTATCTGAGAGAGGTTCACATGGGAGAAGCCAAGGGTGGGGAGGAGGTGTTCGGGCCAATCGCTATAGAAGTGGTACTTAGGTTCCTCTGATAATGACTTGTTCATGAAGTCAGCAAGTAACACAGTGTGTGCGAGGCTACAATTGGCCCCGATCGAGCGGAGGACCTCCAACGCCTGGAGGTGGTGCAGGTAGTAAAGGATACCTTCCAGTATCCAGATAGTCTTCATCTGAGGGATGAAACCACATCTTTGGAGTTTTTCGAGCCAATCTTTCTCTCGGATGTCTGCCGCCACTCTGGTCATAGACTTGGCCATTAAGGTGAGGGGCGGCTCCATTTGTTGCCTCATGGCTGCGTCTATGAGTGCCGTCTTGGTGTCGAGGAGTTTCGGGAGATCGACTTCGAAGATCCTACTGTCCTTCAAGAAGTTGAGTCTGTATGCCCTTGCATCCATTCCTGCATTCAACATTAAGTCTTATAGCATTGTCTTGCAATGATGAAAAATATAAATCTTTATGATACTTAATTTCCCCTTAATTATTTATTTGTTCGGTAGATAAGAATTTTGATGAGACTAATTTGTTCTTTCAAGTAAGAGAATTTCGATGACTACTTTGTTATTTAAAGAAAGAGTGATTTACATTCAGCTCCGTAAGTCAACTTAATTTTTTTTATTTTTTCCAAAATTACCTTTTAGTATGAGGATGGAATCTTCGGTCCGAATTTTAAATTTATTTTTTTTAAGTTTTTTCTGCTATAGGGCAGTACCTCAAGCTTTAGGGTAGTGGCCAACCAACGAAAAAGCTAAAAAAAATTAATTCGGTTTAAAGATGCCCTCGGACAGGGGGGACAATTTTGTAAAAATAAAAAAAAATTGGGTTGACGGACCGGAACTACTTTGTGATTTCCACCTATAAATATAAGGAAAATTTTTAGGGTCCGTAATCACTGTTTAAGAAATGTCATTATGATGCATATGTCATGGTTATAGTATGATCATAGAGGTCATACATCTATTGAATTGGATGATGATGGAGGAGAAGATGAACTGTAACTGACTTAGTGTTTGGTCAGACCCACCTCTGGACAACCGTCCAGCCCATCGGACGGTGAGGATCCCAATGGCCATGTAGTTATCCTGCTATGCTTTTGATATTTTTAAGTTAATTAGTTCGACCCCATGGGTTAAGACCCAGATAACGATGATGAGTGATCTAATAAGACCTTTACCCCTTTGATCCATAACACATTTTCAACGATAAGACCTTTACCCCTTTGACCATTATTGGATCAATATATTGATGATTCAAATATTCAATCCATGAAACTTGCTTTGCTTCCCTTTATTTATGTCTTTATGATTTCAACCTATAATTGAAACTTGCTTTGCTTCCCTTTATTTATGTCTTTATGATTTCAACCTGTAAAATTTTGCATTGCTGCCACTTATTTGAGGACCTTGTGACATGCTTCACATTTTACAGCACTCAATTCATCACAAAGTTCATACTCATTTGCAAACATGAGGATGAAAAACCCAACAACCTAAAAAATTTGAGAGAAGGGTAATTTCAAGAGAGAGAGAGGGAGGACCTGCTCCTAAAAGAACAACTTGTGAATCAGCTCCATCAAAGGATTTGATGGCAGCTTCGAGCTTGGAATCGAACCAGAGGGTGCGTACCGCAAGCACCACACCCGATATCTCGCGGGCATTGTTTTGTTTATCCCTCCTCATCTTGTCATGCAGGGTCTTTAGGTGGGCCTCTCCGGCCAATATCTCCGCCACCGGGTCTTTGATCACGTGCTTCCACAGCGCCCTCCCCGCCGCCGTCTGGCAAGAGCTTCTCTCCACTGAGTCCCACTCCTCCTCCATCCATGCATGAAGCTCCCTTATTCCCTCGCATTTCAGCACTTCAGGCACCTTCCATTCTTCCTCTCCATTCCACATCTCTCTCACTCACTCACTCTCTCTCTCTCTCTCTTTCTTGTTGTTTATGCTCTTCTCTATTTTCTGTGTTTTTGGGTTGTAAAAATTACATGTGTTTTTGGAGCCTTCGGGATAAGGAGATAAGGGGAAAAAGCACAGCCTCCCCCTTTTCCAGGACTGAAAACTGTCCACGAGGTTTTTAAGCTTGGAGTATGAGATATAAGGCTTTGTACGCCTGCACCCCATATTGATCTATGGAGGCTCAGTCCTGATGGATGGTGGATATATAAATTTGGGGTTATGGACTAGCTTTTTGAGGACTATTTCAATTACATAGTCTAGGGTCATCGCCATCTATTTAAATAATAGACAAATAGGGAGAGAGTAGGTCCCACACAAAAAAGAGACATGATTCTAACATCACCGGCAATGGACCCAGACCCGACCCGAGAACCGAGGGGTAGACCCGATATGAGTCTGGGTATGGGTCCAAAAATTGGACCCAACAGGTCAAGTCCCGAACCCGAACATTATTCAGGTTTGGTCTAGGTCCGATAATAAGTTTCAAACCCCAATATATATGAAATATATTTACATAGTTAAATATACAGACATTTTAATTTTTAGGCCGGATGCGATGATTTCAGGTCCAATTAGATCCGGTCGGGACCCAACCCGTTGCCACCCCTACCCATCACTGTCGGAGGGCGACATGCCATAAACCAGACCATAAATCGGTGGCATATCCTTTCCTCGATGGATCAGGATAGGGCTCATAAAAGTGTGGGTTTGGGTTGTGTGGCTCAACTTTTGTCTTCACTAATGTGACGAATAGTTTATATTGAGCCCAGGCTCTAACCAATCAAATTAGAGCTTACATCAAAAATTTAACTAGAAAAAGTTGTTTTGATATTCAAATATCCTCAAATCGATCATCTCGACATCAAGAATCGATCATCTCGGCATTAAGATACATTGGCATGAGAAAGAAATGGATTTCAAATTTTGAAAATAGTGAATCGTACAACGTATATTTGGACCGTCAATTTTCAAGATTTCAAGCTTTCATAGATCTGTTGAATCTACATTATTTTTTAAACTTTAAATTTTATAATTAAAGATAAAATTATATTTTAAGACAATCACAAAGATGTTTTTAGTATGAAACAACATTTCTCAACGCTATTTGAAAGTTTACTTCGATTGTTTAGAGCCTCGGCTCTGTAGAAACCACATCCATTTCCCAATGAAGAGCAGAGAAAAATAAAAATAATGAGAACAAGAAAAAGTGCTTTGGAATTACGTTGAACTGAAGATTTTCATATTCAAGGTAAGTGGAATCGAAGACCCTGGGGACGACTTGACACGACGCTACATCCAGTTTTCTATTGTCTATTATGAAGGGTGGAGATTAAGGGGTGGGTCCCTAAGGACCCAACATAGACCATCAGGTTGTTGGATGCTTCTATTCGTTGAAATTACCCAAATGTCCCTTACAACAAAATCACCAAATTAATTGAAGATGTTGGAAAAACAGGGCGATCTAATCGTTAACTACCCGGTTAGAGTGACCGGTTCCGATTTTTGGCAGCTTTAGTGATCGAGCGATACGTAAAAAAATTTCAAAAACATGTATATAAATTCCCAAAAGCAAGAAATTTGGTTTGTAATGTATTTTTAAATATTCTTTACATTTATGATAAAAATTAAATTTTTTTTTTGTCATTAATACTCACTTTAATTAAAAAATTGATTCATTAAAATTTATTTTTTCATTAATTTTCAACTTCATTTGAATGTGTTTTGTTTTAATCATTCTTTATATATTTTTTATATTTTAGTAGATTTTTTTTCGTCTTTTTTATTTTTTCAACGCTTTTTTGTCTTGCCCAGGACTTGCCCGGTTAGAATGATTGAATCCATTGTTTGACCGGTTAGGCTGGTTAAACCACTTATGGGCCCATGTCTGGTTAACCGTTCCGATTCGATTTTACAAAAACCTGTTCAAATTGAAGCCACGATTCCTAAGCATATATGTGATGGCTACTCAACGCGTAGAGTTATCCACATTCATTTGAGCCATTGATTTTCCACCAATAATATTTGATTTAGATTGAGTTCTGAGCAATGTTGTCATATTCGCTTAGAAGCTTTTTTCGGTTTGGTAAGAAAAATGAAGCAATTCGGTGCTTCGACCGATTCAGGGGAAGACTTCAGATTTTTTTAATTTAATATAAATAGATTAAATATTTATATATAAAATACATAAAATAACAAAAAACTTAAAAAAAAAATTTCAAAAATAAAATAAAATTGTATAGATATTTCTTTGCTTGGGCCGAAGAGGCCGAAGCTTCGGCTGAATCTGCTCAAAGCAGCCCGAATCAAATCAAAGCGACAACATCAAGCTTCGTTTCTATTTGGTCTAGGCTTAAAATCTGAGGGCCTCGGCCTCTTCGGTTGAAACAAATCGGATTTGACAAATACTGCTTCTGATATTTGACTCAACTCAAGGAAGGAAAGCAGTGAAAATGGAGAGAAACATACAAGTATAAAACAAAAAATAAAAATTTTCAACAAATCGAGGAGTTCTCCCATGGTTATTTTTTTTTTCTCTAACTTGAATTAAGCTATGCAAGTAAATACATTAAGGAGAATTTAGGTGTGGTACCAATAGGCGATAAAATGAGAGAAAGTCAACTTAGGTAGGTTGACCATGTTCAGCGCATACCCAATACAATACTTGTTAGGAGGTGCGAGTTAATTCAAGTGGAGCATTAAAAAAAGACAAGGGGCTCAATTCAAAAGAACATGATTAGAAGTATTGAGAAAAGATATAGGAACTCATGGCTTCAATGAAGTATAGCCCTTAATAGAGCCAAATAGTGGTCTAGAATTCATGTAGCTGACCTCAATTAATTAGAAAAAAGCTGATGGCGATGACATTAAAACAAATTGCATCTTTGTTTTTTGTGTTTATTTTCTTAATTTTTTGAGATTTTATTTGATTTTTTTATCCTTCTTTTATGGAAATCCTTCTCTTAGTTCACCACTTCACCTCTTGATAAAAAATACATCCTTACGAAGTGTGTACCCTCTGAAAAAATTAAGCTTTGGAGAAAATCATCAATGGCCCATATTTTATTTCATAACTAATGACATAAAAATGAATATGGGAAAAACAATGAAGTGGAAAATATTCCTTGAGGGTCTGTTCAAATGAATCACCAAATGGGTTGTGCAGGTTCAGTACCATAACCCGTTCCAATTTGTATCTGTTAGTGTTGGAACCCTAGGTAGACGTTTGGCAACTGGAACTTGAAATTAGAATAAAAGATTTCTAATTTTGAAATCTTAAAGGCAGAAAATTGAGTATCTGGTAATGCAAAATAGTTTGTTTGGTTAGCCAATCTAGAATTTCGGGGGTTTTGAAAATCTATGTTTGATTTAAGCTGAAATTTCGTGAATTAGGAGATCTAAAAATTAGCTAATTAAGCTTTTGCTAATGATATGGTAATGTTTGTAAAATGAAAGAGTTTTCAGAATAGGTCTAGGCAATTTCACACTCGATATAAGGCGAGAGCAAGTCTAAGTATTTCAATTTTATTTTAGTTTTTCTTTACATCAAATTGAGCTAACATATTCGTTTCTATATTTTTCACCTTCAAATATATATATATAAAATATATATATATATATATATATATATATAATGATTGAAACATCCTCACGGATGGATAAGAGCACATATGAGTATTTCAATTTTATTTTATATTCTATGATTCTTCCCCTCGTGAAGTTATAAAAAGCATTTACCCTCATGAAGTTGTTAAAAGCATAAAACATTTGTCAGAGAAGAGAATGAACGAAATACCTATGAAACTCCAAATTTTTTTTTGTTTTTTGTGTGTCCATGGGAAAAGGATCCCTAATTTTGATAGGAATTTAGCTTAGGACATAGCGCTGCAAATCATCAACTGCTAACTAATTAAGCCTAGGCTCTTTTTCTAAAAATTTCACAATATATATCACCTAAAACACTACCGACTTCAACCCTCATATTTGGATTGGATGGTCCAGAGTATTTCAATCTTCATTTTTTTATATATATCCCAAGGAATTGAAATTTTGGATATCTATAGATCTAAATAACTCACAACTATAAGAAATATTATAAAAATATTTTTTTTAAAAAGCAAAACAATGCATCTGCCCTTAAAAATTTGAGGGTAGTTATGAATGGGGCCTATATTCATGCTCCCAAACAGCAAACCCAATCCATTCTTTCACTTGATAGATGGACCGCCCGATCATTACCACTTCTTCCGCATTATATCATGGTTCCCTTTCAGCTGATCGATCCGCTAACGAGGATGGGACATTATCTGCTTACTCGTGGATGAATTTATTCCCAAATGCCACATAACTGCTGCAATTCCTTATTGTATTTGTTGTTATTGTTGTTGTTATTGTTTCGATGCCGTATTTTCAGCTTTTGATATCTTTCTCTAGTGTTTTTTTTATGTGACTTAAGTGTTCCACTTAGCCTAGTAAAGAGATTATATTCATCACATTTGAAATTAGAAAAGGTTATATATATATATATATATATATATATATAT